GGGACCTGCTAGCAGACTCTAGCAGGTCCCGGCCAATAGGAAACAGTTTTGTTTTTTTTATTCTCTTTTTTCATTGATCTTTATTTTTGTTTTTTGTTTTTTCAATGATCTTACTTTTTTTACTTTTTCTTTTAACCTCCCTGGCGGTATGATTATTCAGGATTTTAGGTACCAAAAGCGGTACATTGTTTTTCAAGCAAATATGTTGTTTTACATTGTAGGCCTGTAGTTCTTAGTAAATCCTAGGAATAACTCACCTAAATCTGTCCAAACAAGAGTCCAGTAGACATCCCAGGTATGATAAAGTTTGAAACACGAAATATTTATTTTTTAAGATTATCATTTATTTACCTTTTCAAACATTTTTTTTCTACTTTTTGCACTGTTTTTCTATTCTGCTCGGTACCACGGAGGTACCGAGCAGAATAGCTGAGCAGCGGCATTCGGCCATTCACTCACTGCCGTTTGGGCCCTATGAGATTAGGCCAAATGGCAGCGAAGTAGCCTGCCACAGATTTGGGTCAGCTGATACAGATGTTGGATCAGCTGAGTCGAACTCCTTCTTCACTTCGGCTCAGCCAAACATGCATAGCATGTTCAGCTGAACTGAAGCCAGCAGAAGCAAGCCGATGTACGGAAATCAGCCGTACAAGCCTGAAGTTAATAGCCCAACAGTGTTCGGCTCACTGCACTTCAGGTCGGTTGTTCACTCGGCTGCCTTTGGCAGCTTTGTGAATAACCCTCACAGTGTTTTTTGTTTTTTTTTAGCATGTAATCTTTATTGAAAGTTTTTGTTAGACATACAGATCAATCCACAATAGGACAAATGTAATCATAAATACAGAGGTAACAGCAGTAGACGAAAACATTCGCATAACTGCAGGATCAAGAACAATATCAGACAACTTCACAATCGATTCAAGGGACTTGTTGTGGAGGGTTTAGGCGGGGAGAGGATCAAAAGAAATTGACTAGGACTAGGAGGTCACAAATGATTATGTAGCAGTATTAGTTTGTGAGCCATAGGTTGGAACATTAAAGGACATATAACGCCCCTAGAGAACCGGCAGCCATAGAGGTGAGGTACCATGTCGTGTAGGGGGAGGGGGAGCGCTGGGAACCCAAGATGGAGTTGATGTAGGAAAGGACAGTGGACCAAAATGATTGGATGTGGGGGCATAACCATATCAGATGTTCCAAGTGCGGTGAACAAACCTGACATTTGGGGCAGGAGCTCAACCAGTTTGGGGCGGAGTCTTTATAATGAATGTTAAAGGCATAGAACGCTCTGTGGATCAATTTAAACTGTATTTCCCGCCAAGATTCAGATATAATGGCTTTTCTAAGCGAGAGCCATCCTTGGAGTAGCAGCTGCTCGGTATCATCCAATGGGATCTGAAGGAGAGCAGCCCACTTTACGATATGTGTGCTATGAAAACGGGGGGTGCAGAGCATAGAGGAGCTCAGGGAGAGGACATTTGAAGAGAGGGGCATTTTCTGTGAAGGGGAGGACAGGTGTCTCCGAAAATGGGAGAGGGAAGGCATTACCCTGGGGGATGGGAGGTTCTTGGTAACACAGTGTTTTTTCTAATTTTCTTTGCACATGATCGGGTATTCTTTGCAAAGCGCATTTTCACCACATTCACTAAGCTACAGGGACATTCCCCTGTAAAGTGCAAATTCCCTTGCAAAGTTAAAAGCCTATATGTCTTTAGTAAATCAACCCACATTCAGTCAATGGTCATTTTCTGCCTGAAATTTACTTGCACATGATGAGTATTTTTTGCACGGTGAATTTTGACTTAAAGTGACATTAAATGCTCTTTTTTTTTTACTCAGTGCTGCTGTAAGGACTTACCTTAAGTGGTGCCCCTTGATCTGATCATCTTTTTCTTTCCAGTAGTTTTCAGCAGTTCCTCCAGCGCTGGTGCCGGTATCTGATCCAGCACAGACTCCTCTTTCTTCCTGTGTTCCACAGAGTCTGCCCAGCGTGAATGCTCCTGACTGCGTGCATTCACTTGTCTCTCCCCTCCAGTGATATGTACTACGCATGCGCCTGCACACACTTCCTCCTGTTCAGGAAGCTGTGGTCTTTAGCTGGGAACGAGCAGCGCAGACACAGGTAAGTAATTACATGTTTGACAACTTTTTTTTTTCAATGTTGTGGCATATATCTACTGCTTGCTGGCAGTAGATATATGTAAAAAAATAAAGAGAGACTTTAATTTTACTTTACGTCACCCTATTCATTAAGCTATGAGAAAATTCACTTTGCAAAGTAAACATGCACTTCTTCTTTAGTAAATCAATCTCTATGTGTAGATTATCAGCAAGATAGCAAGAAAACAAGAACATGAACACCATATCAATCACTAGTAACTGATTACTAGTAAAATGAAAAAAAGATCCCTGACCTCAAGCATAATAGAAGAGGAGGTGCAATATACATAAACCCTAAGCATAGATGATCAACAGAAACAGGAAACATTTAGTTAGTCCGTTGGTTAGGGAAAGTATGTGTTATATAAGGTCATGAACAAAATGTACTTCTTTCATTTGATTTGTTAATACCATCTAAATTTATTCTTATTACAGAGGATTGCTTGCCTTACACTTGAGCATTTTTATTACCAACAGCATAATATACAATCTCTATAATTAGGCCCCTCTAAGAATAAAACACATCAGAGGATTTAGGTGATAATGTGTACGTACCATCCTGTAAAATAAATTGGCTGCTAAATTCTGATTTTGGTGTGTGGCAATTGTTTTTTTCTTTGGATGTTTAACCATGTAACCATGTAACTATGTAATGTGTTGGTTAGTTAAAAAAGATACCTAGCTCTCCTTTTAGCAAAATAAGTTCTGGCTTGAACCTTTTGCCCTTGCATTTACAGAAAGATAAATCTGATAAAACATTTTTTTGGGTATGTTCAGTTTAACATCCGACTTTACAAATATCTAAGCTTATAGGTAATTCTGAAATCTAATACTAGTTAACAATTTAACAGATGCCATGTAAATAAAAAAAGTCAGTGGTTTGATTTGGAAGGTCTTGCATGCTGTAAAATACTGAAGGAATTTCTTTGCTATATATTGCTGCTTGCCAGTCTTAGATATGGAGGCTGCATATATTTTTTCAAGCTTTTTTCCCTTTACTTTTTACTGGTAATCCTGCCAATATTATACTTCCTGTCCTACAGTGACTAACCCCGTCCACTGTATCTATAGGGAAGCAGTGTTGTCACCCTAGGACAAGAAGTGTGTTACAGACACCTCCCCCTCCTCATCTCCATAACATAGAAGGAGGTGTTCTAAAGTCCACTGAGAGAATGGGGAACAATGCTAATAACAGTGCAGCAGAGGCAGAGGACACAGGGCGTTACCAACGTACTAGTTTTCTGGCAGAATCAACACATATTTTTTGACATAACGAACAAATGTAGCAAAATGTTTTCAATGGTATATGAGAAGTTCATTACTCATATACTTTACTTTTTATACAGTGGTCAGATATCAAATGAATTGTATGCCAAGAACTTGAAACTACAACAATATATGTGTAAAGTACATATGGCGTATATATACAGTATCTACCTATCTATCTATCTATCTATCTATCTATCTATCTATCTATCTATCTATCTATCTATGTCTATCTATCTATCTATCTATCTATCTATCTATCTATCTATCTACAGATAGATAGATAGATAGATAGATAGATAGATAGATAGATAGATAGATAGATAGATATAGTAGTGCTAAATTATCTATCAAATGATTCATGCAGTTCAGAAGTTTGCAATTCAGAAGATTAATTAGATCTGTCTACCTCTGTATCAGTACAACAATAAAAGTCATGATGTTGGTTGGTATGAAGTTACTATCAACTTCATTCATTATGTAACTTTATTTCCTTTTGAAGCCCCAAGTTGTTTCCTAGTTTGGTGTTAAATAGTAAAGTACTTAGTTGGGCTAAAATCAGCCCGGCCATTTTGTACTTTATGTAAGTCCTGGCTTGGAACCTGTGAAGCCATGTTATTAATCACTTTCAAGGCAGAGAATGAAGTAGGGCTAATTTTATCTGATGCTACAGACAGAGCTTTCATAGGACATAAACAATGCCAGAGCCAGATCCCGATTAAAAGATTACAAATCTTTTGAGTGGCATCCTAAACTACCTCCCCTAATCTTGTTTCTCTTTAATCACTAGAGCTTTTTTTTCCTATGTGCGTTTGTTTTCTTTCTTTTGAAGTCCCACCTGTATGCACACGAGGGGTTTTCCTTAGCTTGGACTCTGTCATTGGTCAGCAGTGACTTCGTCTGCTTCTCAAAAAGGAATTTTCTTGACCTAACTTTGACTTTGTACTTAGACACTTGAAGAGCACACACTGGAATTTTTGAAGCTCTGTATCATTATTTGCGAAAGCATATATTCTAAGGATCTGGGCCTTTTATTTATTTAAAAAGATTAGCATTTTGTTTTGGTAAAGCTGATTATTATTTTATATTTTTTTTGGGGGGGGATGAACTTTCTACAAACTTTCAGAATTCTTTAAGTGTTTTTTACGGACAAGAAACATGGGGAACATGGATGGGAAAACTGTTGAGGAATTAAGTGCTACAGAAATTCACAGATGGTATAAAAAATTTATGACGGAGTGTCCATCTGGCCAGCTTACTCAACATGAATTTAAACAATTCTTCGGCCTCAAGAACCTCAGCCCGGCATCTAACCAATATATTGAACAAATGTTTGACACGTTTGACTTTAACCAGGTAAATCACATACCCCTGCTTATGACATTCCACAATATATTGAATATTTGTGTTGAGTTTTGTTTATTTATTGCATATTACCTTGAGTGGTGCAACTAGTTTAATTTTAAAAGAATGTAGACTGTCATAACAACAGATGATCCTGATTCTGTCCATGTGCTCAGGTGCTGTATATAGACTTTCTAATAGAAAACAGCCCATATTTGTATTTATTATTACAAAATTACATATTATAAGTAATAATTATAATTACAATGATAATAAAATAATTACATCATGACAGTGATATGTGCTATACATGTACAATTTGAAATTACTTACTAAAAGTGCTTACTGTGTAAATGGTTGCAAAATACAATTTTTACAGTGTTTCTATAGTTACAGTATATAGTAAATAGTGATGAACAGATCAGGACAATCACTAATTGCTCATTTTGAATTTGCTGGAATATTTCCATGTGGATCTGTCTGATCTACAGTAAAGCATGCATTCATGATCTGTGAATTGTTTGAATGGGATTTTATCTCCATGCGTACAAGTATATTTAGGAGAATGGAGATATTTATAATTTGCTGTTGAACATGCTTTCATATTATTTCATTAATCACTAATTAGAAAACATACAATCACAATTGGCAAGCTTTAAATCCATACAGTTTTACATACATTGATTTGTGTGACCTAAAATGGCGCGTGAGCTAGAAAAAGTTTAAATGACAGTCATAAAACCACGCCACCATGTGGCTTCATCATAACACAATATGTTATAAAATCTACTGCAAAATTACTACTGTAAGAAACAATGAATGGTTTTATTCTGTATAACTATAAACAAATATGGGTGGATATTTGAGTGTGTGTACTGGTAGGCTTTAGTTCTGCCTAGATCATTTTAGAATCCTTTAGTCAAATAAACTACAGCAGAGAAAAAAGGTCATTCTGTCTTCTACTCCTTTCCCACAAAAAGTTTAAAAACAGGCTGGAGCATCAATTACGAAATGCAATACTCAGAAAGGTTTAGACACATAGTTCTAGCATCTGTTATTAGATAGCAGAGATAAACTGACCCTAAAAGTTATCTGGTGAACATTTGCTTTCACAAAGGTGTACAATATGTAATGAGGCTTAAAAGGCTGAGGTGACATGGAACAGTTCATCCAAATCGTCCAAATACACTGTAGTTTTTAGGATTTTACAAGTAGTTATTCAATGATTTATTGGGTTTACTTTACACCAAAAAAAAGAGCACTATCTGAATGTAGTAACTCAGAGCAAACAGTCAGCTATCATCTGTCATTATAATTTTTTTCAAATTCTTTATTTTATGACACAGAATAGCCATACATAGACAGTGTTAAAAAAAAAAAAGAACACATCAAGAAATTTAAAACTCAATGATGATAGTTCAATGTAAACAATGGGTATTATCTCTAAAGTATGGATCCCATTGATTTTTAAGTTTTGTAAACCACATGCAATAATAGAAGGGGAGTGTAGCATGAGAAGAGGGTAGGATAAACAAGGGGCATGCCATATATACATAATTTTACAGAAGCTCCTTTTTGCACCAAATTATCTATAGTAATCATTTGCTTTTATAGAGGGGCATCTTCCTGTCACTGTTACAGCAAGTATAACGTTTGTATACACCTGTCCATCACACATATTATATAAGATTATTGAACATCCAATTCCAAAATCATGGACATTAGTGTGGACTTGGTTGCCTCTTTGCAGCTATAACAGCCCCCACTCTCCTGGAAATGCTTTCCACAAGATATTGGGGTGTGTCTATGGGAATCTGTGTCCATTCAGCCAAAGCGCATTTGATAGTGATACATACTGATGTCGGATGAATAGAACTGGTTTGTAATTGGCTCTCCAATACATCTCAAAGGTATTCAAATGGTTGAGGTCAGGGCTCTGTGTAGAAGTTCCTTCACACTAAACTTGGCAAACCATGTAGTATATTTTTGGACCTGGCTTTGTACACAGGGGAAAAAAAGGCCTTCCACAAACTGTTGCCACAAGGTTGGAAGTGCACAGTCATCTAAAATATATTTGTATGCTGTAGCATTAACTGTACCTTTAACTAGATACACCTGAACTCACCTAGAAAAATGTGGACTCTCCAACTTGGAAGGGTGTCCACATACTTTTAGCCATGTAGTTGGTGTGGTAGAAAAGTTTCTACAATCTTTTGTCCATACAGTGTAGCTACATAGATAATTAGGTTGAAAAAGGCTCATTACCATTAAGTTCAACTTCTGAATAATTTACTGCAGTTTATGTAACCACGCGTGTTTGGAGGCTATACAGTATGTGATCAAACTCACCTCTTAGTGATCATAGCCTGCCTTTCACCTAAGGCAATGCTGTTGATTTAAAAAAAGGCAAATTTACTTTGATTTACTATAGGCTGTTAACTTTGCAAAGGACTTTTCCCTTAGATTAGTAAATGTGTTACAATTTCAATTGATAAAGAATACCCAATCATGTGCATGGAAAAAATATATATATATAATTTATTAAGCTAAGATAAAATCCCCTTGGGAAGTGAGCAGCCTATATGCCTTTAATAAATCAACCCCATTGAGTGAAACAATAACTTCCTTATTCCCTACTTCAAAAAATATTACTGCACAGTTTGTGTTATTAGAATAGCCTGAAAATCTAACCTGCCAGCTCAAACAGTGATTAATCATTATTGATTTTTTTTTTTTTTTTGGTCATTAGCTATGACAAATGGCTTTGCTGAGCAATTGTGAGAGGCAGTGGGAAAGGATTAAAACCCCTGTTGAATCATTACTATTATCCACAGCTCCATTAGAGACATTTCCCCTAACTTTCCTGGTGAGAATGGCTTTGCCAGACAATCAAGTGAGACCACAGAGGCACAGAAAGCAATAAAAAGCTGTCAGGGGTTCTAGTTTTTCCCTATTCCAGTAAAACAAGTTTTTTATGGTCGTTTATATAGCAGTAACATCCTGAGAGGAGTTCTAACCCTTCCCAACTCTTTAAAAACACAACTGTTTTCGCTCATACAGACTGATAAATATATGTTCCAGCACCTTTTGGTACTTCATGCTTTAATTAATGAGTGACATTTCAATAATGTTATGGTTATATTTTGTAAACACTGCGTTATTACATAATAAATGTCTAAAATTCTGTTTTAGCCCATAACAGCTACAAATAACAATTCATGAGTTGTACATTACATGACAAGATCATAGATGTGAAACGTCCATACATTAATAGATGTCCTCTTTTTCCAGGATGGTTATATGGATTTCATGGAGTATGTGGCGGCTCTGAGCTTGGTCCTGAAGGGGAAAGTGGAGCAGAAGCTAAGGTGGTACTTTAAATTATATGATGTCGATGGGAATGGCTGTATTGACAGAGGAGAGCTCCTCAATATAATTAAGGTAAGAAATTGGAATGTTACCTGTAAAAAACTTTCATATCTGCAGTACTTTTTATCCTTCAGTTTGACCCTTTGAACCATGACAACATTTTGTAGCAAAAATATAAAGTAATGGATTATAAGTTATATTAAACATTCACTTCCCTGGTAACCCCTAGTTACTGCACGCATATTATATTATCAATTTTGTGTAGTATTCTGTAAATAAAAGTTAATTATAATGCTGCTTTTTGCTCTTTAAAAGCTAACTGGCCAGTATTTAGTGATGTGTTTTTGTAAAATGTCTATTGAAGGGAACAAAAAAAGCTATTCCAGGTGAAGATAAAATAACTAAAAAAAACAAAGGATTTGAATGGTTAAATGTTTATTTTATTAGTGTTTACAATAATACAATTTTAATTTCTATGATTTGGACATCTCGAAGTGCCAGTTAAACCTTAAACATGCAGTCAAGTACCTTAACTATTAACAAAAATGTATTGTACAGTATGTACAACACTCAGTTGTAGATCCTAAAATCATCTCTGAATTGGTGCTGACACTGTCCTTCCTTCTGGAGGGTGACTACTTTTGTTCCCCATGGTCCCTGTGTGTATTGTAAAGTAGCCACCGCTCCAAGCTCAATCCCATGATGGACAACAATCTAATATTTAGTCTATTAATTTGTATTACAATTGTAGTCTATCACAGGAGTGAGCTAGGAGCGGTGGTTACTTTACAACAGGGACCATGGGGAACAAAAGTAGCCAGCCTCCAGAAGGAAGGGCAGTGTCAGCAATTCAGAGATGATTTGTGGATCTACAGCAGATACACAAATAAGGTACATTTTTGTTAATAGTTATTATTTTTAAGATTTATAGTGACATTAAACCTTCTTACTTTAAAAAAAATGTTTTATTATTTCATTCTTTTATTTCCTAATTTTCCAGTGGTATCCAAACCGCTAGCCCCACCCTCTGTATGGGTGCCTCCATCAGCTAGCCAGCTGCTGTGGAGGCACCCATGCGTGCCTGCTTATGGTCATGCCCGCACCCAGCTGTCTGAATCTATAGACACGCTGGCCACGTCACCCACCCATGCAGTCACGGTTTGACTGATGGCAGAAGGAGTCTATGGCCCTCAGTACCCTCCCCCACAACCAGGAGGTTTGGGGAATCCCGAGTATCTTCCCGGTCGCGGCGGAGGATACAAGCGGCTACAGGTAAGTGTGTGTGTGTGGGAGGTGTTTATTGCCTTAATGCAGAGAATGCATTAAGGCAAAAAAAAAACACCCAGCCTTTAGTACTGCTTTAACTAGTTAACTAGTGAGTTTAGTGTCATTTTAATGTAAAAATTATCATTAGATAAAATTATGAACTATTGTTATATAACTAACACTGATAAGTGAATTGATGTTGCAGTGGACATCTCTACAACGTCAACATTGTATAGACTAATGACTAATGACTAATGACGTTGTAGTAGACTAATTAATACCAGTCAATTGTTTTTATGTTTGATCCTATTGGATGATAAGGTCATGGCTTTTCTTCTTTAAATCTGAGCCCATAATCCACTCAACCACAATCCTATCACATGTATTAACATGAAGGATGGTTGGCATCCTTATCTAGAAGAGTCTATAAAACTAGAGACCAAACTAAAGACTGATAATACAACTTTCAGGAAGTGTTTAGCATTCAAATGAATAAAATGCACTTACAAATTAAGATTTAATGTGGATCTAAAACTTCATCAAGTTTGATAGATGTCTACTTCCTGAGAGTAGTAGTGCTTTTCTAAACTGCTTGTAACATTAGTTAGCTGCTGGCATATGCCTTTAGCAATGTCTCTAGTTTCACAGGAAGTAAATTGCAGTTACTACAGCAATGAAACACATAAGGAACCTATAAGGATAGGTATATTTAGTTACCACCAAGGAAAAATACAAATGAGAACCAGCTCAATGGCTAAGCCTTACAATATCAACTTTGGTTCCATAGCCAGTTCTTTGGCAGGGTGCAGGCATTTTTCCTGTTTTTGGTTGTATCTTTGTCTGGAAGTCCAAGAGAAAAAGTACAGAATCTTTATAACTTTGTTTTTGCTGCCAGCTATGGTATATGTGATATTTTTTAACAACGGAACTGCAGCACATAGTTGTGAATTTGTACCTACTTAATGGATCAGATTTTTACTAAAAATACATTGCAGTAGGAAACCAGATATTTGTAAAAGGTTCCTTACTGTATTTACAACTGAACCTTTTGAGGGAAGATACATATGTCTTATGACATGTATTGTTGGGCTGCTATGCAAAACCATGCCTCTTACCATAAAAAAGAGTGGCAAGGGTGGCTTTAAAGACATTTGTAGAACAACCTGGGATTATTTTTTCAGGATTCCCAACCCAAGTGTAAATAAAACTCTAAAAAAAGTTAGGAAGTATACCCACCTTACCATCAGCTTATGCACTGGAGAGATCCTCTGAATGTTGAGGATCCCAAATTGTGTGAAAAAGACACTCCAGCACAGAAGAGCATCTTCTCATGAGATTTGGGATCAGCATCATTCCCAAGATCTTGCCACAAGGATTGTGATACCTTTGCCAGTGGTAAGGTAAGTATATAAACTTTTTTTTCCCTTTAATTTGTTTTCACTTGAATGCAGTGTTTTGGCATTGGAGCAGGGTTTCTTATTAAACAAGTGGATGTTACTTCTAATGCAAGATCCACTTTAAGGGAGCCAATCCTATTTTTTTTTAAAGTTAACTTTTACTCCGTTTTACTCCTTTTTAAAAGTGAAAGTCTTCGAACCACGGGACACCGAGTTACCCAAACACAACTATTCAGCTCCTACGACTCGGAGAGGGTGAGGCGCTCGCCGTTCACACTACCACTGCCACGACAAGGGGCGCCCCAGGGTACCAGCACCCCCCGCTTGCGTGGGGGCTTTAGCCCCCTCTGACCATGTTCTTAATGCAAATTGTCGCACCTTACTTGTTCAAATCACTCTATGGGGTTGATTTACTAACCTTATAAACACGCCACGAACAAGTATACACCTCTGTAGTGTGTTCCCTCCCAGCCTGATCTATTGGTGGAATCTAGACACCTTTGTAGTGTGTACACACCCAGCAGGTGTGTTGTGCAAAGCCCTGCATGAATTGCCAGGTGATGTTGTGTAAATTAGCTCTACGTTGTGTTGCTTGCGTTGATGAATGCAGGAATGTAAATGCATGAGCTAATCATTTTTGTCTAAACTGTGGAGCAGCATTATATATGCATCATGTGCATGATTTTTCCATATATGGCATTAGTGGAAATATGCTTTTAGAGACTTGCATGCCGCTATTAGAGCGGCATGTAGCCTATGGCGGATTCTACATGACGTGCACGTACGTAAATACATAAAAACGCGCCATAACGGCGTGAAAATGTGACACGTTGCTCGTGTTTGGTTGATAAATACGTTTTGCTGTGTAAAAATGCACATGCACCTGGTGCGTGCGTGTGTTTAGGTTAGTAAATCACCCCCTATGTGTTGAAATATGCGGTAACGTTTTATTGACATAATTACCGCATTATTGTACGTGAATCAGCCTCATGTCCATGAGCATTATTTCAAATTGTGTTATGTACAACTTGAATAAAAATGAAAAAAATCTTAAATAAAGAATTTATAAAAAAAAAAAAGTGAAAGTCCTGCATGAAACATAGGACACAGGATGCCTGCTTTTACCTTTATTAGCTAGATAATCCTTCTCTGTGTAGCCCTTTTATTCACTTTTAACTTGTTACTGGTTCTTCATTTTCCTTAGCTTCAAAGCTGAACTCCATTAATTGCTTTTCTGCTGGTCTATCAAAATGCTCTTATTTGATAGGATGAATTTAAAAAAGTTAAGCCTCCATATTAAAGGGAAGCTAAATCAGATTGGTGCACAGTGAGTTTTATTTTTACATAATATAATCAATATACATCTTGTGGTGTTTCTTCTGAGGCAGGATTTTTATTAAATTTAAAATGGATTACAATTTCACATTAAGCGATATTATGTTACAGGGCATGTGCCATATATGCCATACCCTGGATATGCCACTGTGATAGAGTCAGGGAAGTCAAACAACAATAATGTATACAGAAATGTGGACATTCTGTTAACATCTTCAATTATTGGAAACAAAGATTGCATGTGAGACATCAAAACTGACACATGAAAAGTATAGTTGACCTAAACAGACAAGGTTGTTGAAAGGCTTACAGGGGACATTTTTTCAGAAATGAAGGACTGTTGTCATATAGGTCTTCTGGATTGTCCCTGAGTACAAAGACTGATCTTGCATTTTACTAAACATATGCCTTCTGTTTAACTTACACTGTCATTATTCATTTTTTTTTTAAATTCTATTTTGTTTCAGGCTATTCGGGCTATTAACAGATGTAATGATAGCATGACTGCGAAAGAATTCACTGATATGGTCTTCGATAAAATAGATATCAATGGTGATGGTGAGTGATCTTTTAACTCTTCTTTAATAATTTATAAAATATAACTCATCCCTCTAATAACAGTAATAATAATCATATTACAATAAAAGTAATCCCCCTTAATAAAATATAAGTATTCCCCGTAATAGGATAACCATATAATCTGTACAATACTATGTAGTGTCAAAGCCTACCTTATTGAATACAAAATTGAGTATCTTGTTTACGTAAGTCCTTAAACAACATTTTTTCTGAGAAATCTAAAGCCATACACCAGCAGAATTTCATTGTGAAAATGATGTTTTCGGAAGATTGATTCGATTTTCTAATAGTTTATAGGCTCAAATCGATCATTTTCGATCGCAATGACAAAAAAATGGAAGGAGCACAATAGAGATCTTTAGAATTAATGAAATTCTAACAGTGAATATGGTTTTCACTTGGGACATTCCAGTTATTCTAAATATAAATGGTAAAATAAACCAAATTTCAGACAACATTCATCAAGTCCCTGATGAACTTTCTGAAGAACATGACATAAATAGGTGTGTACCATTCTTTGTCGGAGAAGCAATGTTTTTGCATGTCTATCATCTCATTTTACCATAATTAAACAATCAAATGATATATGTAATATGTGTACACTTTTCCTTTACCAGAAAACTTTGATTTTCAGCACATAAAATAAATAGTGTTTATGGACCAATTTTTCAACATTTGTATCAAAGTTAATTCACAAGTTTGTTGAGAAATGTGTCTATGTCTATTGCAAAGTACAAAAACAGAATTGGGCTTAATAAACATTTTTTTGCAGAACAAAGTACATTGGCCTGAACATAATTTCTTAGGCAGCACACCAACTGAACATTGTATCCCCCCTAAGCAAGACATTATGAACTCCCCACCCAACATATTGTAACCCTCCATCCAGCTACACATTTTTTACCTGCCCCCTACAATATTAAGCCCCTCAAGCAAGAGAATGAAGCCCTTTCCCAAGCGCAGTCCATGTATGTGTAACAGAAGTGTCTCTCCACGACAGTGACTAGATTCAGTGGAATGGTTACTCTTGATAACATCATAAAAACACAGCTTTCCTCTTCAGCGTGCAGCCAACATCCCAGTTTATAGGACTGTGCACAGAATTAGATAACCAAAAGGAGGACAGAAGAGAGAGCTCAGCACAGTATTGAACAAGTGCCCTCTGCTGGACCAAATGTTACATTGCATTCAGTCATTATAGATTTTGTCTGGACCCCATTGCAGCATTTTTTTTACTAGACCAGGGGTAGGCAAACTCCGGCCCTCCAGATGTGGTGCAACTACAAATCACAAAGATGGCATAAAAATCTGAATTTTAACTATCCCTTAAAGTCCACCTTTGTAAGTGATTAGCATTTATTGTGGTAATGAAGAGGTGCAGTGATGATGTCTATGTGTGCACATTTTCATGACTCACATTGCAGGTTTTCTTCATTTTTATTAACTTTTTATTAGGCCTGAATCTTACAAAGTGAACATTTTCTCTACAGGAAATTCAGTCTGACACCAGGGTCTGATTGTAAAGCAGACTGTAAAGAGCCCTCTGCATATGTTTTTAAAAAAAAATACTTCTGCAAAGGTGGAAATGGGGTTTAAACGGACCTTGCGTGTCTATGAAGGTTCATCCAGGTCATGGTATATCTATAAAAAATAAATCAAGGCAACTGGACTTGCTGTGTTTTCCTTGAAGACATGTCACTGGTCATCCAACTACCTTTCTTAATGCAGAATGACTTGTACAAAAATTCTCTGGAAATAAATATGGTGAATATTACTCCAATCAACATAATCTGTTTATCATAACCAGCATGGGGTCAGAGACCTCATGGAGGCAAGGTGTTGATTGCATTTGTATGATTGGAGCTGGTCTCTGACCCCATGCTGCTTATGATTAACAGATGATATTGATTGGTGAAACATTTACCATATTTATTACCAGATACATTTTGTACAAGTCATTCTAAAATGAGAAAGCTAGTCGGATGACCAGCGGAATGTCTTCAAGAAAAATACAGAAAGTCCAGTTGCCTTGATTTACTTTTTACAGACTGACCTTGCAAAGCTTGAATTTTGGCAAACTCCTAGTAAACTTGCTGAAATCCAAGCTGTGAGTGGTGAATTGGCACCACCTGGTTTCACAAACTTTGATTACAAAATCAAAGGAGCCGAGTGGAAATTTGTTGGCCTGTCATCGAATGCATCTGTCAGCTACAGTCACTGTTGACTGCTAAACAGGCAATCATGGGTGCTGTCTGAATACAATAACTTTCTTCAGAAAGGATGATGCTAGCGTGGATGATGGGATCCAGTGACTTTTTTCATTCCACCCCATGGTGAGCTCTACTCTTCCCAAAATGAAAAAAGTCTTAGCTTTACATATAGATTGAACAAGCTGTTCACTGTTAGAACTTTTTACATTTCCTGTTTCCTTGAGGCAATATAGACAATGATGTCACAATTCTTTTTCTTACAAACCTAAATATCTATACAATAGGAAACATGAAGTAGTAATGTACATAAGTATGCATTTCTAACATCCTGCATTACATTGCATTCATTATTATCTCATGGATACAGCTACACCCTGGGATTGTTTGCAGTGATTTCTGTTGAATTACTGGCTGTATTATATGTATATTCTATTTCATGTCTATTTTGTCTCTTTCTAGGTGAATTATCATTGGAAGAATTTATTACAGGTGTGCAAAAAGATGAGCTTCTTCTGGAAGTGTTGACCCGTAGTCTTGACCTAAAGCATATTGTCCACATGATACAGAATGACGGCAAAAGAATGGACATCACAGAGCGACCCAGACCGGAAATTACAACCGGAGACTCACTTCCCTGAACTTGTGTCTGTGTTTGTTATTTCTCATCCCTTTCACCCTGGAATATGCCTGTAACATGCCCAGGATGGTTTGTACAGGACAAGATTCTCCAGGTTACGGTTCCCAAAACTAAATGGCACTTTAATATTTGTCAGCTGTATCATTATTTTTTAGGACCCTTGAACAACATAGAGGGTTTATTAGGCTAATACACCTAGCCTTATTAGACAAAGTGGAACCCCTTTTTGTTGCCAAAGACATTGTGATTCTCTCATGGCATTTTATATTTGCCTGGAACATAATGATGGCACAATTTTAGGAGCTACTTGTTTCTCAAAGAGAGAAAACTCTTAACTAAAACTTGTTGGTCCTGGGCCGTTCCTTGTAAGCCTGATATTAAAGTCTTACTGAGGGTGTACCTGCAGTTGTGTTATTAGTAGGGTTGCCACCTTTCCATCCAGTGAAACCCGAACACTCTAGCGATGCACAGAATTTTTTTGGGGAGAATGAGTTTCAGTGGGGTGCCAGTAGCCCCATCTTTATTTTGGTTGCCCCCGTCTGCCTGACATCTTGTGCCCGGGTTTCAGCAGCCATGAAACCTGGACACAGCATTCAAAACCTGAACTGTCCGGGTGAATCCTGGACAGGTGGCAACCCTAGTTATTAGTGATGGGTTAAAGTGACACTAAACTCAAGAGTTAAAACTTACAAATGCATTCAAGTACCTTAATAACAAAAATTTACCTTATTTGTGTATCGCTCAGCTTGTAGATCCTCAATTCATCTCTGAATTCCTGCTGACACTTTCCTTCCTTCTGGAGGGTGGCTACGTTTGTTCCCCAGGGTCTGTGTGTGTGTGTGTTATAAAGTATCCACTGCTCCAAGTTCACTCCTGTGATGAACTACAATTGCAATACAAATTAGTAAACTAAATGTGAGAAGAAGTGAGCTTGGAGCGGTGGCTACTTTGCAACACACACAGGGACTATGGGGCACAAAGGTGGCCACCTAGCAGAAAGAAGAACAGTGTCATCATGAATTCAGAGATGATTTGAGGCTCTACAGCTGAGTGATACACAAATCATTTCCATTTTTGTTACTAGTTAAGGTACTTAAATGCATTTTTAAGGTTTAGCTCCTGAGTTTAGTGTCACTTTAATCTAGGTTACTAACTGTTTTAAGTCTAGAGTTAGAACCTCTGTAAGGTTACATTGTATGTGTCCCCGTTGAGCATCTTTCATCTTACTTCCTCTGTGACTATCAAGGTAAATGAGGGGAAATCTAAATGGAGACACAATCATCTTTAAAAATAGAGGTTCTTAAATAATTTCCTACCCTATTTAAAATATAATACAATATTTCCACTTACAAAAAACCAATAGAGTTGGCAACATTTATTGTAGAAATTGACAGGTAGATATTAATATGACTGTCTAGCACAACATCAAAGTTGAGAGCCGTGTGCCTCTTAGTTCCTTAGTAATTAGATTAGTGATTACTGGTCTTTTTTATTGAACTCATGTGTTAAACACAGTGGCGCTGCCAATAAATTGTCTGAATGCTAGAAAATTTATTAAAGCTTGAGACAAACTAAGCATCCGGATTCTATGTGGCCACTTAATGAATCTGTGTATTTTTTTACAATAGTGTTTTGTGGTTTACTTTATACCTCAAGCTGAAGCATAGCTATAGCTTCCAGAAATTGATCATTGAGAGTTAAGAATAGTTGTGATACAATATGGCAGCCTTCTTTGCAATTATCAGTGATATCCAGTTGAAGTGGAAACTATGGTTTGGAATACATAAGTGAACCATAGTCCACCTGACCACGTTTTCTGTTTTTCCATCCAGAACCTGCAGTACTGCATCAGGTCAACACACTGCTTAGAATAAACTCTGGCATTCAAGTCCAGCCATTATTTGCAGTCTATCTTGAGTACCTCTGCTGTAGTGTGCATGTTTGGCTCTAGAGCTATAGAGATAATAGGAGAGCCATCTGAATTCAGGAAATAGCATTTACCTCTTATGGGATAGGAGGGGCAGTGGGGTTGCCACATGTTGGGTTAAAGGTACAGCTGAACATACAGGTGCAATTTTTACTGGATAGCTTTAGCAGTACACTAAATAATTACATTTGTTGACTGGTTCATTAAAGGTTTCCTACTCCACCCATCTTTCACCCTTAGATTTTTCAAGATATGCTGAATGTAATATTTTCTTATGGTTTTCAGGGCCCTCAAAGAAAGCTCAGGGCCTAATAAAATCCTAATAAAACATGACTGGATCATTGTTAATGAAAGGAGAATCTCCTCAGATTCATTTTGCTGGAGAACCAGTAAATCTGATCCTGTGTGAAGGTGTGAAGGTGGCCAACTGCTCTGAAATGAAAAGAGATCCAAAGGTTCCCTTTACCAGTTCATCAAGCACACTGGCCTACCCAGTGGAGTGAGTTAGCATTCTTTGCCAAACAAAAAATCACTGTTGATAGGCCTGACTCAGTGCAAAATCTGGATTTGAGTGGACCAATTCACTTGTCACTGCATTTTGTCCATGTGGTTAGAAAATGTTAGCTTTCATTCTGTGTATAAAGTCTAATCCAACCACAATTTAAGGCATTATGGAGGACAGAACACATAGTTGAATAGTTAGAACAGAAACCAGTTGTATCTCAATGTATCTGCCTTATCTGTCTGCTGTAAACTATTGGCTGCTGTTTGATATCTGTGTGTAATATACAATGCAAAAGATATGTGAAACATAAAACGACAAAAATAAAAGAATTTCAGCACAGTAAAAATGCCCAGCATAACTCTGCCTGTCTCTATTGATATACGGTAGTGAGTAATTGTTTTTTTCTCTTGAGATATATATTGATCACTATCAGTATAATGGTTTTCTAAAACGCACACAAATTAGTTGCTAGCTAGACAGCCAGAGTACTGAACCGTAGACGGAGTCGGGAGCCTGCAAATTATGAAAGTATATGGGTACCACCTGCTAAACACTCTGTGACTAAGCTTCTTTAGGGCCTTCTTACACCATGTTCATTGAGCTGCGGCTTTTTGGATGCCACTGCATATGTATTGTGTGAACAGGGCACATAGAAAACAATTGTTTTCTATGTACCCTACTCCCACCATACAAGTACATTGGTGTGCAGATGCAAAGAAAAAAAGCAGCTTAATAGACATGGTGTAAACAAACCCTAAATATTAGAAAAAAAAGCTGCATCTTCGGGAACAGGGGGAGTCCAACATACAGGAATGGCACCAGACTGACTTATAGCACTGTGAACCCTGTTTTCTGTGGTAGTCTTCTTGTACATAACCTTATTGTCTGCCCTGTTTTTACTGACACTTGTTTGATATCTGGTTTACGTGGTTTGCCTCCCAAATTGTACATGTGTCTTTTGCTAGCAGTTGATAGATTTACATCTACTGCTCATTGAAATGCACATGCTAAGTTGCTACTACTGATCTTTGACATTGTTTGTTGTTTCTTGCCTGCCAAATTAAATATACTGCCCTGATGGTACAGAACCTTGCCCTTGGTTTATGTACTTTTCTTAAATTGTACACACTGACTTTCCTTCTTTTACCGACCCTTGACTGGTATTTGGGTGACATCTTCTGCTTGCTGAATTGTACATGCTTTGTGTTACTAAACCTTGGTGAAACCTTGTTTATGTCCCCCTACTGCCATATTGCAAATGTTGGCTTCCATTGCTACTGATCCTTGCCTGGTTTACACTTCATATCTAATGCATTTTTAGGTTTCTCATTAAAACTATAATGTATGCTGGTTAATAGTTACTAAGTAGACTATTTTAACAACCTTCTCCTGCTAGTAATACTTCTTCAAAGTGTATTTTTCTCCTTCCCCACACAGGTTAATTTGATCATGGTAGATTAGAAGCTTCATTGTTTTTAGCTTCGATCCCTCACTAGGTTTGCCTGCCTCGGTTTGTATTCTAGCCAAGGAAAGGAGTTGTTCTAATTATGAATTTGCTGTTTATTGACTATCAAAATAATCAAGTTTCTTATATACAATTTTTGAACTTTATGGGTTTCCTCTTCAACTAATGTTAACACATCTGAGTATAAACAGGCGCTTTATTTGAAATGAGTGCCTCAGAAACTGACTCTAGCTAAGGGCATTCCCTATGGTTTGTTTGGTCACTGCAAGTCACATGTAAAAAGTCACATTTAATTAATGTATTCACTACCACCCAGTGCATATCAGTTCATGTTTAAGGGTTAATAATTAATGATGCAGCATAGCTATATTTAAGGATTCACCCAATACCCTGGCCCAGTTGAATCCACAGATTCAACTAGCCAAATAAATAAAGTGGCCTGTGAGTTCTAAATTTATATTTTATTAGTAAGTAGTAGGGATGTCCCGATGCCACTTTTTCAGGGCCAAGTACAAGTACAAGTACATCCCCTCATGTACTTGCCGATACCAATTACCGATACTTTTTCTTAAAGGGACAGGTGACTTTAAATGATCCATAGTACAACTACATGTTATGTACTATGGATCATGGTTTAACCTATTCATGTTAGCAGGGGAGAATTGTAACTCTATTGCTGGATAAGTACTTGTCAAAATGCACTGTATCAGGCCCGATTCCGATGCTAGCATCGGTATCGGGACATCCCTAGTAAGTAGTAACATACATTAACAGTCTCATAAAAATGTGTGCACACTTGATGCATCCAGGGATAGTGATTTATTCCTAATCACATGCAATAGTATCACATACTGCCACTTTCAAATGCAGCCACTGTCACCTAATTGTTAACTTGAACGAGTGACAGCAGCCGCTGGTAAACTACAGATCTGGGATACCTGCTGCAGGAAATTGCAAGTTCCTGATGCAGGAATACCAAATCACACGTAAAGCATAGGTGTGAGTTTAGCCTTAATGTGGGATATTTTAGGCACCAGTTTACCAATGTACAGCTGTCCCATTGTGTTCCTGTATGTTCCTGTATATTATATAGTAATATATATG